GACCACATCAAACTAAAAAGCTTCTGCACAGCAAAAGAAACCAGCATCAAAATGAAATGGGCCCTGGTCATTTTGGCTCAGAGGTTAGAGCATTGGCCCGCGGTCCAGAGAGACCTGGGTTTGGTTCCTGCTAGGGGTACATGCCTCGGTTGAGTTTGTCCCTGGCCCCAGTTGAGGTCGTGTGGGTGGTGGCCAGTCGATGTGTCTCTCTCATGTCAATGTTTCTCTCTCTTCCTCCTGCTTTGTCTGAAGATAAATGCAAAAATGTCCTCAGGTGAGGATAAAAAAAAAAATGAAAGAACACAGTATGAGAGAACATATTTGCCAATGATACATCAGATGGGTTAATTTCCAAAATATATAATGTACTCATATAATTCAACAAAAGGAAGACAAACAATCCAATTAAAAATTGGGCAGAAGGCCAGGTCAGTGTGGCTTAATAGATTGAGCATGTCCCATGAACTGGGTTGCAAGCTCTATCCCCAGTGGGGGAGGGGAGGTGTGCAGCAGGCCGCTGATCGATGTTTCGCTCTCACATGGATGCTTCTATCTCTGTCTCCCTTCCTCTCTCTCTAAAAAAAAAAATCAATTAAAAATATTTTCAAAAATAAAAAATGGGCAGAGGACCCGAATAGACACTTCTCCAAGGAGGACATACGAATGGCCAAGAGACATATGAAAAAATGCTCAATGTCACTAAACATCAGAGAGATGCAAATTAAAATGAACATGAGGTATCACCTCACACCTGCCAGAACGGCTGCTATCAATGAATCATCAAACAAGTGCTGGTGAGGATGTCAAGAAAAGGGGACTCTAGTACACTGCTGGTGGGAATGCAGACTGGTGCACCCACTATGGAAAACAATATAGTGTTTTCTCAAAAAATAAAAAATTGAGCCCTGGTCAGTTTGGATCAGCAGTTAAAGTGTTGGCCTGCAGATAAATGAGTAGCAGGTTTGATTCTGGTCAGGGGCAGTACCTTGGTTGCAGTTCATCCCGTCCCTGGTCAGGGTTGTGTGGGAGGCAACCAGTCAATATTTCTCTCTCTCTCCCTGTTTCTCCCTCCCTCACACTCTATCTGAAGATAAATAGAAAAATATCCTTGGGTGAGGATTAAAAAAAAATTAAAAATTAAACTGCCATTTGACCTAGTGATCCTACTTCTAGGAATATATCTTAGGAAGCCTGAAACACCAATCAGGAAGAATATATGTACCCCTATGTTCATAGCAGAGCTATTTACAATAACAAAGATCTGGAAACAGCCCAAGTGTCCATCAGTAGATGATTGGATAAAATAGCTGTGGTACATATACACAATGGAGTACTATGCAGCTGTAAGAAAGAAAGATCTGTTATCCTTTGAAACAACATGGAGAGACCTGGAGTGTATTATGCTAAGGGAAACAAGCCAGTCAGAGAAAGACAAATATCATATTATCTCATTTATTTGTGGAATATAATGAACAAAACTAAGCTGATGAACAAAATAGATCCAGAGACATGAAAGTCAGGAACAGACTGACAAACCTCAGAGGGAGGGGGGTGGGGGTGGGAAGAGATAAACCAGAGAACTTATATGCATATATGCACAACCAGTGGACTCAGACAACAGTGTGATGAAGGTGTGGGGTGGGGAGCGGGGAGGAGGGTGTCAATGAGGGAAAAATGGAGGGACTTCTGTAATACTTTCAATAATAAAGAAAGAAAAAAAAAAGCATTAGGTGTTGTAGAATTTTAGAATAAAAGAGAAATCATTAACCAGATGTAAATACCAGCAGGACCTGTTCTGGTGGAGAATTCTGGACAATTTCCCCCAGGGCAATACTTTTTAAGTCAGCATGGAACTTTTGGGAGTAGAGAGTATGGGCCTCTAAACTATGCCCTTAGGAAGGATGAAGAAAGATGTTCTCATGTGGTAAGGAGCAGACAGTGGCACTTGAAGGAAAGAGCACTGGGCAGACCGGTCCTCCATCCAGGCCATCTCTACTCACTTTGACCCCTTTCAGTGGACCCTGCCCCACAACTTGCACACATTCAGCCCGTTTTCTTCCTTCTATTTCCATCACCATGTTCCTCACAGACAAGTCCTTGCTGCCAGAGCAGGAAGTTCAATGCCTCCAGTCAGCGCCAAGAACCCAAGGCCTGGTTTTTCTGAACCTCCTGCCATATTAACACAACTCCCTCCTGGTGGTCTTTACTACACCTGGTGTTTCTTCTCCCATGAGACCTATTCCCGTGGTTCCTTGGCAGGGAGGATTCTGTTCCTCCTGTCACACTCGTGTCCAGATCAGAATCATGTTTCTAAGGCAAGTACAGACGATCCCACAGGGGAAGACCACTCATACTCCTCAGAGGACAGGCATGCATGCTGATCAGTCCTCCTGCTGTGGGGTCCTCAAACTCAGTCCCGCCTCCATCTGGGGATGGAAGAGAGAAAGAAAGACCCCGAGTGGGCACCTCGAGGAGAGGAACTTCAAGGGCAGCAACTGAAAAAACAGGAGTGTTCATAAGGTGGCTGAATATTTATTAAATGTAAAAATAAATATAACAAAATACACAGGAAAAATTTTCATTCACAAAGGCAACAAGAAATGGAAAAATAATTGGGAATTAACAAGATATGTGCAGGACCCAGATGAAGAACACTCTGAAACTTTATAGAAGGATGTAAAAGAAGACTCCAGTGAATAAAGAGATGAACTATATTCCTGGATTAAAATACTAAATATTAAAAAAAGTCAATTCTCCCCAAAGTTATGTTTCTATGTAATATAATCTCAATTTTAAATTTAACAAAGTAGATTTAAATTTAATTTGAAGAACATACATGTATAGTACTGGCCAAGAGACATTTTTGAAAGGAGAATAATACTAAAAATTATAACAATGAAATAAAAAAAATTAACAAATAACATACCCTGGCCGTGAGTCAGTTGATTGAGTATCATCCTGTGCACTGAAAGGTTGAGGGTTCTATTCTGAGTCAGGGCACATACCCTGGTTTTGGGCTTGATCCCTGGTAGAGACACGTTTCTCTCTCACATTGATGCTTCTATCTCTTCCTTCCTCTCTCTCTCTAAAAATCAATAAAAACATTTAAAAATTAAATACACAAATAACACAAAAATTAACTCTGCGGCACCAACACAGAAACAAACAGACCAATTGATTTGAAGTTCAAATACTAAATGAAAATACAATATGAAAATTAAAAATTTGCAGCCTCCAAATATTTATTATATGAGGAGCTCTTACAAATCAATTAGAAAAAACACATCCCAAAAGAATAAGGGGCAAGAAGATTACTAAGCAATGCAGAAAAAAAAAAGGCTGTAAACATAAAAATTAGTTACTATTACAAGTAATAAAAAAGTCAATAAAAATAAGGTACATTTTATCTGTCAATTATCAAAGTTGAAAACATGATAATAGGATTCCATTGGAAAGGATTGAGGACATGGGTTTTTATTAGCCTTTTTGGGGTAGGAGGGAAACTTGGCAAAATGTATAGACTTTTTTTTTTTTTATCCTCACCCGAGGACATTTTTCCATTTTTTGTTCAGGTAGAGTGGGAGGGAGAGAGAGAGAAACATTGATGTGAAAGGAACACATTGAGTGGCTGCCACCCACACAACCGACCAGGGCCGGGGACAAACTGCAACCGAGGTACGCGCTCTTAGCGGAACCGAACCCGGGTCTCTCAGGACCGCAGGCCGACGCTCTAACCGCTGAGTCAAACTGGCCAGGGCAAAATGTATAGACTTTTAAGTGAGCACAGTCAATCCAGCAATTCCATTTCTAGGAATTTATCTTCAAGAAATAATGTGCAGAAATAGTATATATGAATATTCAAAGATGTTCAGCATAATGTTACCTAAAAATGTAAAAAATTCAAGGAAACTTCATTATCAACAATAGTGGGTTAGATACACATCAGACAAAATACTATGCAGTCATTAAAAATAAAGGCAGAGCCCTGGCTGGTTTGGCTCAGCAGTTAGAGCGTTGGCCCGTGGACCAGACAGTCTTGGGTTCGGTTCTCGCTAAGGGTATGTACCTTGGCTGCAGTTTGACCCCAGCACCATGGGATTGTGTGGGTGGCAGCCAGTCAATGTGTCTCTCTCACATTGATATTCCTCTCTCTCTCCCTTCCTCTCTCCTTCCCACTCTATCTGAAGATAAATGCAAAAATGTCCTTGGGTGAGGATAAATAAATAAATAAAGGCAGAGAAATGTGAAGATGGCTCCCAGACACGTTTGCCTTCATATAACTATGAATCATCTCAAAGGAATCAAGACTTTATTCATGATTCCTTCATGGAGGTGCCATTGCAACCATAATTGATGTTACTGTTGGTATCTGTGATTATAGCTGGGGGAGATGTCATGACTGTCAATCTCAACACCAATTTTAAAAGACCTTTTTTCCTCTGTTTTGATAAATAGCCAACTTGATCAAATTGAAGAAAGAAAACTGTTTATTTCCTGTAATATTCAAAGTGTTGATGAGAAGACCCTCTACACAGAGGCAACGAGCTTATTTATAAAGTTGGATCCTGAAAACATGTTTGACGTAAAAGAGCTTCCACTCCACATGCATAAGGCTCTTCGACCTCCAAAAGAAGCTGTGGTCCCCAGTCCTGCTCTGCTTACCCACTGTTGAGCCCCCTTATGGTGAAACCTGCTAACACTGTCTTTCCGAACAGTCTTCTGAACACAACTCCAGGGGCTCTGTTTCCACTTTCTACATTTTTAAACACAGAAACACTTCCTATGAGAATATCAGCAATTCTTTGTGTATCCCGAGAATAATTGATTTTCCTGAAATTTGAATGGGCTCCTAAAGGTAATACCTGAAAACTTGGAAATGCTAGAAAAACCAAAGGAAGGAACAAATATTTGGATGCATCTTTGCGTGTATGTGTAATGTGTGCATGTGTGCATTCATGATTGATAAATTACTAACATAAAAAAAAAATAATGGCAAAGAGATCTTTTTGTAGTCCATAAACATGATGATTGGGTATTCACTCTCCTGTGTGAGATGTGCCTCTCAAACCTTGCTGCAACTCTGCACATTACTTGTCTGATGTGAAAAAAATAATGACAAAGACAATATATGTGATGTCTGAAAATGGTTACATTGCATCAAGTAAAAACAGTTATGAAATCCATTCTTCTAACAAATAATTATTGAGTGACTAACATATGCTAGTCAACAGCAGTGAACAAACTGAATAAAACTCCTGCTCTCATGGAAGCCAACACTTCATGATAAAATTTATAAACTGAAATGTGAGGTATGGTTCCAATTTTTAAAAAAGTAACCCTGGTCAGTGTGGTACAGTGGTCAGAGTGTATGGACCTGGGTTGCAGGTTTGATCCCCACACTGGTCGGGGCATGTGCAGGAGGCAATCAATCTCTCTCTCCTCTTTCCTCCTTTCCACTCTCTGGAAAAAAATTTTGGGTGAGGATTAACAATAAATAAATAAAAGTAAATGTAGTTGGTAGAGTATCAGGAAACACAAACTGATGTGTAGAAAGTAAGTGATTACCTCTTACTTTGGGATTTAGGGTGGTAACTGTACTTTTTTTGGGTGCTTTTCTGAGTTTTCCAAACTTTTTATAATAAATGTATATACATTTGTGGCCTGAATAAAAACAAAAAAATGTCATTTTTTGTTGTTGTTAATCATTACCCAAGTATATTGTTTTCCATTGACTTTTTTAGAAAGAGTGAAAAAGAGGAACACACACACACACACACGGATTGATTGCCTCCCGCATCCACCCAGAGAATGGAACCTGAAACCTAAGTATGTGCCCTTGACCAGAAATCAAACCCGAGACCCTTCTGTACTCTGGCCAATGCCCTAACCACTGAGCAACACTGGCCAGGGCTTTCATCTTTTTTTCAAAGAATGCAAGTAGAGACATACATAATAGGTGGCTTTTCAAAAAAAGGAATTTTTTTTTTTTTTTGTAAATTTATTCTCCACTGTTGTAGAGATGACAGGTTGGATAGGAGTGAGCTGGTGGCTCTGGAAATGGAGGCGAAGGGGCATAGGGCTTCCCCCACCAGCAGAAGTGGGTGTGAGATCCAGATAAAACAGGATGAACAGTGGGAGGAAAGCAAAAGGAACATCTTAAAGGTCTTTCTCTAATATCCTTTGCCACAAAATCACATTGATCCTGATTACAGTATCTTTCCCATGAGTCAGTATCCTCTCGTCCCCAGGCATGATGGAGACCCAGGCCTCCCCTGAGTAGCCAGGACAGACAGGGCCCTGCTGTCTTTTTAGAAATTGTATTTCAGAATTGGTCACTCATTAATTCATTACTGTTCACTTATATTCATCAAATGTCACTTTTGGCTCCTTCTAGTGTCCTGGAAATGTGGTCAAGATCATTTCCCACACCCTGAGCTGTTATAGAAGCACCACCGCCCCACCCACACTGCCATCCCATCCATGACAATCAATCTAGCCAAGTCCAAGCTATGTTTTTCTTCAAGAGAGACCCGAGGTCCCGGAGTCAGCCATGGACAGATCTTGCCCATGGGAATCAGAGTGACGGTCTATGCATGCTGACCATCCCTCATGTGGTTTCTTTCACCTGTGTGGATGGAGCTCTGTGCTGGAGTTCAGTGTTTTCTCTTAGTGTCATGGGCTACAAAATAACACAGCTCAGAAGGAGCTTAATACTTCAAAACTGTATGACACATGCAATGCCTTAGCACCAGCTCATTGGCGTTCTCCCAACCCAGGCACCACCATTATCCTGGGGCAGACTCCAAGGATGACCAGAACCTTTATGACCATGTTCCTACCCTCTCCTTCCAGTGACTTCTGTTACCCCAGTTCTCTCCTTCCATTGTCCTTACCCTCCTACCCAAGTCACACACAAACATAGCCTTGCGACTTTCCAGTATTCATGCTGGTTTTCCCACCGTGCCAGGGCCATTGGACCTCTACTGTTCCTCATCTTTCACTTCCATTCCTGTATAGCCCCCAACCCAATGCTGCCCATCCCCCACCTCCCAATCAATCACTTTTGTCAGTGCCCCGGACCTGCCCTCTGTGCTGATGCCACAGTGAATGGGGATCAATGCCCCACTCCACTCTGTGCTCATCCCTGGGCCAGCCCGGTGGACGTGGGCAGGCACAGCATGGTGGGCTGCATGCTCTGACAGAGGAACATTGAGGAGCAAAGAGGGGCTCCTAGCACAGGGATGCTTTGAGTCCAAGTTCACCCCAGAACAAAGAAGAAAATGACTCTTATGATCTGGCTGTTGTTCTTGGACCACAACTGTGGAACACATGGGTACCGGTTCCAACCAGGATGCATTAAGCTTTACCTGACTTCATGTCCCTTCTAGATGCCACACCTTTTTTTCTCCCCCATTCATAACACAACTCCCCAAAAGAGTCATCTATACTCACTGTTTCCACTTCCCCAACTCATAGGCTATCCACTGAGGTGTCACTCGATAAAATCACCAATGACCACCATGTTGCCAAATCCAGGATCCGTGTCTTTGTTCTCATCTTACTTTTTTTTTAACTTATTTTTTCTTTATTGATTTTAGAGACACAGAAAGAGAGAGGGAGAGAGATATAAACATCAATGAGAGAGAACATCAACTGGCCACCTCCTGCATGCCCCCCACTGGGGATCGAGCCCACAACCTGGGCTTTTACCCTGACTGGAAATTGAACCAGCAACTTCTTAGTGCATGGGTCGACGCTCAACCACTGAGCCACGCCGGCCGGACTCATCTTATTTTTTTTGCTCAACAGCTTTCAAGTCAGCTGAAGGGAAATCTTCTCCTCAAACTTTTCCTGTCTTACTTTCATGACCACACACTCCCTAGGCTTTCCTTCTACCTCACTGGGTGACCCTTTGTCCTCTCTTTTGTTGGCTTCTCTTCAGGAGCAGTCCTACCTCAAAATGTTGTAGTGCCCCAGAGGTGGGCAGGTCGCCATCTACACTCACTTCTCAGATGTTCCTTTCTAGCCTCACGTTGTAAGTACTGTCTATACACCAATAATAACAAAATGTTCATTTCCCAGTCTAACTGCCTTCCTGAGCTTCAGCCTCCTACATGAGCTGTCTTCTTGGCAGCTCCCCTTGCACATCTAAGTGGCATCACTGGCAAACCATAACTGTGTGGACATCAGGGCTGCTTTCCCAGCATCCAATCCATTCTTCCCCTTTTGGTAAACAGATCCAGAGCTGGTCTCTGCTTGGTGAAGACAATTAGTATAACCCCATTCCCATTTGCACAGTGATTGATTATCTAAATTGGTCTGATCAAGTTGAACAAAAGCTTAGGACTTTCATTTAATATTTGAACAATAGAAGCTTCTTCTTCTGGTGGGTGTTGGGACTGAAATCAGTGCAGCCATTTGGCTCTGTTGAGGGAAGCCAGACTGAGGACAAAGCAAGACTGAGGAACCAGGGAGAAGCTCTGACTAAACCATGTCTGAATTCTGGACTTTTCAGTTATCAGAGTTCATACTTTCCCTTTGATGTTTAGGGCTGATTACTTGCACTTTCTGTTACTTGCCAATTAGTGCATCATGATCCATGGAATAACAAACACAGAACTCTCATTCCCACCACCCACTTACCTGCTTTTCTGTGCTCTTCCCCACTTCAATTAACCCTGATCCATTCAGTGCCTCAGCCAAAATCCTTCAACTCATCCCTGACTCCATTCATACTCTCACACCCCATAGCCTATCAACAATTTCTTTCAGCTCTACTTTCAAATGGAGAGTCCATCCATTCCTACCCTTGTCCCACTGCTGTTCACTCTGTCACAGCTGCTAGCTGAGTCTTTGAGAAACCTAAAATAGATCATGTTCTTAGCCTGCTATAAAACCCTCCAGTTTGGAATAGGATTGAGAGTCCGTACGAAGCCTATAGGCTCTATGCAATCCAGCCCAGCCTACCTATCTGGTTCACCCCCTTCCGCTGCCCTCTCCCCAGCTACACTGGCCTCCTCTTCCCTAAAATCTCCCCAGACCCCCTGGAAAGCCTTGGCACTGCTCTGCTCTGTACCCATTCTGCCTATGGTTGCCTCTCTCTTGTCATTCAGGTCCCAGCTCAGATGGCTCCTTCTCACTGTGGCCTTGCCTGAGGACCCAAGCTCATGGTGCCCACCTAGTTAATTTGTTTAATAACACTTATCACTGCCTGAAATTATCTTGTTGGTGAAGATACAGTCTTGTTATTGCTATATCCTAAGACCTAACATTCATTGCGTTTGAACAGAGTGTGAGTCCCAGCAATGTTTGTGGCCACCCTAGAAGCAGAAGTTGGTCAAGGCCTTGCTACTGTGGGACACTCTGCCCCACTGCAATGGAAGCCCAGAGTTCTCTGTCAGGCCTCTGGGCAGAGAGAGTGTGTGGAGGAAGGTAAGAGGGTGCAGGGGAGAATCCATGAGGCTTTCAGGGACTGTGGCTCCAGACTGTGGTTCGCATTACTACTCAGCTATTCCATGGAAAAAGCATCAGAGAAAAGGGGCCTGAGAAACCTCTGTGGCTGCAGTCAATGGGAAGCCCCAACCCAGAGAAGCCCTGGGTTGAGTTGTGTGTGGGCGGATCTGAAATCACCCGGAGGCTTTTGGTCACAGATTTCACATCTGCTGGGGCCCGGAGTTCCTGGTGCCAGTGACCACCTTGAGCACTGCAGCTCTGATGGCAGACAATGCCATCTGAGAGGGGCTGGTCACTGCTGCCAAGATGAGCCAGCCTCTGGTCAGACCTGGGGCTCTGCTGGACTGAGGCACTCAGGCCAGGGAGGGACCACTGCACGTGTTTCCTGGCACACACCTCCTTTCTCCTTTTATATGAGCAAATATTGTTGCTGAGGCATTGGCCACAGCTTCCTGCCTTCTACTGAGATCAGAAGCCCCAGCCACAGTTTCAGCGACTGCCCTGCCAGACTAGTCTTGGCTTCAGAGATACATGGAGCACACTGCCCCCACTCCCAGCCTTTCCCAAGGTGGGGGCTCTGTGATTTAGGGGGTAAGCTTTTGGCAGTCAGCTTGATGTCTTGGGGAGGGGCAGCTTGGGCCCTGGATG